TTTGTTTGTTTGTTGATTTGTTGGTTGTCATGTAAGAGAAATCCTATTGTATTCCAATTTTTCTTGGCAGCGTTGTTATTTTCTTTTTCTTTTTTCCTCGAGAAATATATTATAACTAGCTCACCCTCGTATAACTTTCGTTCGTTTTTTCCTTCTTATTTTTAATATATTTTGTTTTTTGTTTTTCTCGCCCGTAGGTGCTTGAACAACACCCGAATTATCCTAAGATCAAGAAAGAGATCTTAGATAAAGCAAGAAGTTTGATTCGAGTCTAAGGTGTTTTATATTGTAACATGAATCACGATCGAAGTAAGAGCTATATGTTAATACCAACGAAAGCTATCGGGAAAATTCATTCACAACTTATAGATAGATTATTAAAACCTGGTTCCCAATAGCGACGCAAGCAGACGCTATTCTATTTTCTCACTATTCAAAAGAAGCGACTACAGCCGCGGCAAGAGAAGCGGAGAYTTTGTTTTTTCCAACTTTGGCTTGCGATTGCGTCAGCCTAAAACCAGGCTCAAAAAGCGAAAAGAAGAGGAAAGAATGCGAATGATCACACTCCCTGACATCCCTTGACGAAAAATAATATTTAAAAATGAAGCTGTTCCTACAATACCGTTGTGTTACTCAGGGTTAGTCTCGTTTCAGTGTCTAAATATTCACAAATACCAACGATAAAGTAAAGAATGCACAACTTCAACGATACAAACACTTTGAAATTCCACAGACCTTCACTGGAACACATGAATATTCGGCACAAAATCGAGGCTAACCCTGAGCAACAGAGAACTTGAAACTTGAATATTCCTACGCACATATTGTTTAACATTCATTCATTCATTCATTCAAACCATAACCTTCGTGTCAGCTTAATTAGTTTATAGAAGAGTACGTACGAATATAACTTGATAATCACAATGGAAAACCAAGTACCCGCRATAGGGAAATGAGGAAATGTTGAGTTTTCGTAATTTTATTGCTTGTTGCTTGACGTTTTGTGTCCRACACATTTTAAAATCATTTTGCACTTGGTTTAATCAGTCTGGCTTAAGTATTATTACTTGGTTTATGTACAAACTACTTGAGGTACATCTATTTTTAAAATTCAAAACACGTGCTTTTAGGTCGGTCGGAGATCTGAAATCCTTGGCCTATTAGCACGCTGCAAATGGTAAAACAGTATATTCACAGCCCAACAACATACTTTTCTTTTAGATTGGAATATTTACCATTACCTTTGAAATGTAATTTTTCGTATTAAAAACAACAAAATTTCCGTTTAGTCTCAAATAGCCCATTTCAGATCTCCGGCCGACAGCGTTTTTAAAAATAGGTGTATATTCCAGAATATAAGGCAATGCAATCATTCCAACACGCCATGGTTTTATGCTATCCACCTCTTATCTCCTAACATAAGTTCCATTCACGGTTGCTTTGAGCTATTGTAGTCAAGGATCTCAACAACGCTTGTCTATTTAAAAGCCCTTTTACAACCATAACAATAGATACGTACTGTTTTTTAGCTTTTGTTATGTTCTGTGGCAMACACGATTCCAGGCGCGCACATTACGTTTCTTGGTCATTTTTATCTTCAATATTTCGTCAAAACAAAAAACAAAAAGATAAAAAAA